GCGTAAGGGATGCACAATATTATCAGCATGGTATCGATATTTAACTTTATAATTAATATTGGCCGATATCGATACCATGCTGATAATATTGTGCATCCCTTACGCAAACAATGCCAAAACACAAAGCGAGGGGGCATCGAAATCTTATTTTGACTGGAATGGAAACCGTTTTGTAATCGCATCACCTAGTATTGTTGACTTGGAGCACCAGTATCCTTCATTTACAGACCCTCTCTCTTCTCTGAATCAGTTGATTGCATTTAGAGTATGCCTTAAGTACAAAGTTAAATACAGTATGTGTATTTAATTGATGTTTTTTGGTTGATTTGAAAACTCGTTTGCTGTCGATGAAGTAATGTTTTTTATTAAACATGTAGATACATGTAATAACTGTTTTTTTCCTTTAATTTTTCTTTATTTAAATAATTTTGAGTATTGTAGACACTTCAAGTAAAGTATTTAACAATGTTATTGTCATGTGTAGTGTATGATGGTGATAAATAAACACGAAGCAGGTGGAAATTAGTTTTTGGATTGTGCTAATTATTGGAGTCAGGAGGGAAAAAAGCAGCAAGGACACGTTAAGTATGAAAAACGCTGTCATTTTAATGTTAAATTCTCAGCCATGTGTTTTGTAATAACATAAGGTTTGCATCATCAGTCCCTGATTACAGACGCTTCGGGAAAAAAAATAAAGTCTTCGATCTGAAAGGCACCAGCAACTAATCACAGTTATTTTGAATCCCAGAAAAGAAAAAGGAAAACAGCATCTCACTTAGCAAATGTTTACAGTCCTTCAAATATTCCACAGCATTTTTTGAACACGAGTAGAAAAAGAGTAACAACAATGCATTTGGCTCCGGAAAAAAAAAAGCCTCTCATTCCTTTAGTACAAAAAAGAACCAGACAAACAAAAAGAAACACATAAAAATGCGCTAAAAGATGGAATACAATCGTTTCAGAACATACTAATAGTGAGTTCAGTCCTCAAAAGTGCTGGAAATAATAATAAAAAAGGATGCAATGGTGTTTCCTTGTTGTGCTTCCATGTCACCACGTGGGGGCGCAGTCTTCACAGCATGATCACAGAAGAAGAGTCCCTTATTGAACAAAATGTAGAAATGAACTGTTTTGAGAACAAAGCAGCTGGCACGGTTGGTGTTTAAAGTCTTTAGCAAATGAATGCGACAAAAAAAGTTATTTTGAGTGGTCATTTCTCCAGACGTGAAGATGAACAACTAAAGGCAACTTATTCTGAACATGAATCGTGGTTTTACCTTCGATAAGCGTTTTTGCTTCAAGCAGACAAAACAAGTTCCCACCCCGTTGTGCTGTCCTGCAAGTGTGAACAAAACATCCCCAACCCTTGGCGTGTAATTTCCCCGCGAATAGATTTAGTCACTACAGACTGCAGATAATCTTCTGTGCATGTATTTGCAAGTTCATCGTTGCATGAAAACATCACTCTCACCACTTTGTATATGTACAAGCACAAACACACCTGAAGTCCGTGTCCAAATATATAAATTTAAATAAGTAAGCTCTGTTTCTCACTATAACTTTTCTTATTACTCTGCAATGAGACACAACTACACCGAGTGGACCGCCCGGTCCGTTTGATATATTTACATGGTAATACTGTTCCGTGTTGCATTCATGTTGTCTTAGACTGAAAAATAACTGTACATATTTGTGTAAGTACAACTTTATATACAATAGTTAACATTTGCTAAAGGTCTATATTATGAACACAGTAGAAATGGATCAGCTTTAGGGTTCTGGAGATGATTATCTACATTATTTAATGCAGCGTGACGCTACATGGACATGTGTTGCAATACTTTTTTTATGTACAAAAACTGATGAGAAGTTCTTAAAAAAAAATTAAAAAAAGGGAAAGAGCGTCACGACACAAACTAATCAACCTTCCTGTTAGCCCCTGAGTAACACTTCATAAATACCAGTCGCCTCAGGGAATAAACCAGTTGTCTTGAGTTTCTGGTTCAAAATGTTCCTGTCTGCTGTTGCACAATGTTACATGAAAACAAAACTCCCTGAACTCGTGGTCTGGCTGGACGGGATTCATCTGAAGGTGCACGCATGGCTGTGCACGCTTCGATGCACCTTTATCTACAGCTGTACAACATGCAGGGGTGTCTCACACCCCAGAGGGGCTTTGGCCCCCAGAATCAGAGGAGGACATGGACATGGAGCAGCGGCGTCTCTTGGCCACGCTGGAGCCCTGAAGCATGCTGGGATGGAAGCCCGCGTGCCGCCGGGCATGCTTAGTCAGGTGGTCGCTCCTCATGAAGCACTTCTCACACATGGGGCAGTTGAAGCGCTTCTCGCCCGTGTGTGTGCGGTAGTGGCGCGTCAGCTCGTCTGACCGGGAGAACTTCTTGCAGCAGTCGGGCCAGGTGCACTTGAAGGGACGCTCACCTGAGAAGACAGAGGAACGCTGTAATCAGCGGAGGTAACTTTGACTTTACGACTTTATGTTCGATGTTATGTCATTTCTCTTAACTTTACTTCTACAGAAAGATGTTCACATACTTTACAGAGAATATTAGCACAATACCTCATGTATTACTACAAAAATATCAACATTAGGACTGAAAGTCAGACATGTTGACGTAAACAAAGAGATTATGTGTTTCATGGCGACTAGACGGGGATTATTAACTTGACAAAAAGTAGCAGAAACGAAACATGGATGTTAGCACCTAAAAGAAGTCATGATTACAAGATCTCCAACTTTTGACCTAATTTCTTCTTATCATGAGACATTACTCAGAACTTATTTGATTTCTACATCAAAATTATCATAATAATATAGATCATGAAGATATGACGTCATAATTATGACTGTGTTTTTATTAGAGGTGCAGAAGTGGGCTTCTATAATCAATTAAAAAAAAAACAACATAAAGCCACACCCCAGCTCTATCTCCACGTGCTCAGCTGCACCACGTGCCGGTCTTTGTTTACAACCCGGCGGAGGGGTGTTGATGACGTATGCGGAAGCGGCGGTGCGCCAGCAGGGTGGGTTACCTTCGGACAGAACATGTGGTGACAAGTATGTCGCAGTGACCTGCTCTGTCAATTATACGCCAGCGCGTGGACAGATTATTACTCTCCGCCATTAAAACAACTCGAGGCGTTGCGTTTTGCAGAAGGAGCGAGCAGACACAATAATCCCGAGGCATATATTCCGGAGGGATTCCCATCATCCCTCCGGCCCGCGCGGCGCATCACATGGGCAGCGGAACATTATGTTCCCGCAAGAACGCGCGTGTCAGCAGCGCATTCTACACCTTTAGCACGCACGAGCTGCCCGGTGGACCACCTCTGAGACACGGTGTCCCTCCCGGTGCTGAGGCTGACGAAGTGACGCAGCTCGGTTCTGCTGTCGTCAACAGAACCGAACCTGTGGCTTTTTTTTATTGTGTAGGCGTGTCCCACAGCCCGCACAGCACCCTGCTTACCGGTGTGGACCCTGAGATGGGCCTTGAGGTGGGACGACTTTCCGTACATCTTCCCGCAGCCGGCGAACGGGCAGCCGTGCCGCTTCTCGTGCACCTCCTGCCGCCCCCCCGCCGCCGCCTTGCTCCGGGGCTGTTTGAGCAGAGGGGCCCGGCTGTCCTCCTCGGCGTCCAGGCGGCGGACGCCCCGCTCCTCCTTCTCCTGTCTTCCCGCTCCCTCGACGCCGCCGAGACACCTGCTGGCGTCCCGACCGCATTTCCTCAAGTCCAGCAGAATCATGGCCACCATCAGCAGAGTCCCGTCCTGCTCCTCCTTGTACATGTCTTCTGTCCTCCCCGAAGGACGAGCGGGGACGCGGTCCGCAGACACGTCAAACTCCGACATCATTCGAGCAGTAAAGTATTTAAAACAATCCAAATAGTACAAAAAACAAGTCTGGTTTCAGTGTCAGTCTGAGAAAAGGAGGCGAAAAGAGGATGTGCACGTTCCGTCCCCAGTGCTTCTTGTTGAAGATGCTGGAAGTCTCTTCTTCTTCTCCCTGTCGCTCCTTCCGTCTGAACTCGATAAGAGCCTGTGAGCTGACTGCACCAGCTTTCTGTTCTCTCCCACTCCTGCGTCAACTTGTCCTATTTTACAGGGAGCACCCGTTCTCTCAACTCCAAGAAACAATTTCGCGGAATCCTACGGCGTCACAATGAAAGCGGGCGGCGATTGGCTGGAAGAGGACGCGATGTGCCTTTTGGAAATGCAGCGTGAGTGACGGGACCGCGGACCAATCACAGGCGAGGATTGGACTAAGAGGGCAGGACTTGAGCGATGCTGCATTCAGGTTCTGCTTAGGGCTGGGAATTATGAAAATCGGGGTGTAATAGTGATCTGCAAGTTTCATTGTGATTATATTTCATACATATTTATCAAATTGATGAATTTTGACTTTATTGTGATTCACTCTGTAAAGAAAAACCTTGTCATATAGTATTATTACCGCAATTATTATCTTGCTGTATAAAAAACAATCTTAGTTGCTTGACTTTTTTTAACTAAACCGCTCACTTTGCTATTTCTAATAAAAACAATTAAATTTGTTTAACTTGCCTGGCAAAACCCATAAAATGTATTCACTGAAAACTATAATAATTTATTAAAACATTACCCAGGGGTGTCAAACTCACTTCCAAAAGTAGCCAAAATCAAAACCTTTTTGAAACTTAAGGGCCAATTTCAAAAACTACATTAACTCAAATCAGAGACCCAACATCTTTTCTTGGTCACAGGTTCCTCAACAAGAGTTTGATTGTTATTATTTGATGTTCTCTGTTGTGCTTTTGACATCATAATAAAAGATTACTGAAAAAAAATCAAGAGCTAGAAGTATTTTACATTTCACATATCATCTTGAGGGCCAGATAATATGTCAGTGAGGGCCACATTTGCCCCCCGGGGCCTTGACTTTGACACATATGTATCAAATGATGAAGTTTGAAATAAATGACCTTAGTTTCCAGATATATTGATATACATTTGTGCAATGAGGGTACACATTCAATATGAACAACTGCTGACTTCCCCAAAAGTTATGCGTAAGCTTGAGTCATGTTTGTCTTAAATTAGATGGCACAAGTTTGTGGCCGTAAGCAAAAATGGTGGAGGTAACTGTCAGAGAGCACATTTAAGTGGAATTAACAAGATCAACAAACATACATGGAACTAATTTTGCTTCAGTCACAGCAGACACACCAGCCATCAACATAAAAGGAAAATTGTGCAAGATCGGTTACTTACATAATTTATTTTGTAACCAGTCTTCATGGGTTTGCAATGAGTAGTAAACAGTGGATTCAAACTGTGACATATGATAGACCCGTTTCCTTTTTATTAGAATAAATTGACACAGTTGTGTTTTGTTATTCAAGATCTGGTCTCTGTTGACCCAGTTTTACAATTCAAAGTTAGCACCTTTTTTTTTTTTTTTAACTCTCTCCAAAGCTGCACTTGAACTTTTCACATCAAGCTCATTCAACTTTTACCCCTAGAAAGAAAAAAAAGTAGCTACATAAGTGTTCATACTTTCCTAAGTGCAGTTTCAGTGCAGGGCAGCAGACAGACTGTAATGCACAGAGTCCAATTGAAAAAGCTCTAAGGCCCCATCTCCATACCCCCTCACACCCCCTTACCCCTCCCACGCTCCATTTTTAGAATGGAGCGTTTTCAGGGCAGTGGGTGGTTCCTGCAAGTTCCTAGAAAATCCTACTCAGCTTTTAGGGTACAGAGATTGAGTAAAGCTGCCTCCCATCACAAACACGAGAGAGATAAATGTCCCAGCGTGTGCTCTTATTGTTTTCTTCTTGTTTCTAAGGACATTTGAATTTTATGACACCTTGGTGAGAATTTCTCTTGTTTTAAGTGAAATAATAGTTTAGCCCTTACTTTTCTAATTGCCCCTTAATTAAATTAAAAAAAAAAACTCTTTGAACCACGTGACTGGAGGAAAAATAAAGTTGCACATCTGGTATGACCTATACACCGTAGGTGCATTCTCTTCGTTCTGTTAAATGACTGCTTGTGCCTGGAGATGTGTGTATGTGTGTGTGTGTGTGTGTGTGTGTGTGGGGGGGGGGGTCGGATCGGATCAGTCATATTTGCAAAGCAGCCATAATTCACACCTTAAACGATCGAGCCAGCAATGGACCCCCCCCCCCTCCCTCGTCCCACCCTGCCCCCCCCACCCCCGATTTGGCTGCAGCTCTATACAAACTGCAAGTGGTGAAGTTCAAGAAGAGCGCGCACAAAGTCTCTGTTTGCGCGCCACAGAATCAACACTGCGCAAACTTCTCGCTCTTTTCCAGGATTGGAACCTCCACCCTCCTTCGATCCCTTAAACCACTTTGCCCCCCCCCCCCCCCCCTTTTATTTATTTATTTATTTATTTATTTATTTTCCAGGAAGAAAGTCTTGTTGAAACTGGGGTGTTGGACTCGTGGCCTACATCCCGCAGTCAGTGTTCCTCCTTCAGCAGCGGAGCTGTAAACATTTCCGGGGAAGAGGAGGCGCTCTGGCGGGCTGCCGCAGTCTCCTCTGCACCCCCCCCCCCCCCGGCTCGGCGGCGCGGCTGGGTCATCCCGCCGTGTTGACACGAGAGTGGCAAAGATAAGGTTGTTTTTCGACTGCGAAGGCGCGTGCATACGATCCAACAGAGAGAGGGAGGGAGAGAGAGAATGAGCGGACACGTGCGTGATCTCAGTACAGAATGTTCCCGTGCACAGTCTGAACTCGAGCACTGCGAGTCCCGAACACCAAAGCCCCCGCCCCCCAGACACGCGACCACACGAACACACCCACCTCCAGTAGTTGTGTGAACAAACACGCTGATCGCGACTCTTTTACACGGAGGTGCACGCGCAACAACGAGTTTAAATGCAGTGATTCTGCTGGAGCGTTACATGAAATGATACTTCAGTGTTTTTATTTACCACCAAGTCTCTTCTCAGAGCAACTCGAGCGTTTCGCTCCAAGCACAAGCTTCAGGCATGACAGCTGCAGCTGCCCCCCCCCCCCCCCACCGCTGAGGGGAAAAGTACAGAAAGCTGAAAGTACTGTGCAAAAGTCTTGAGTCATCCCCTCTTGTTTTTTGGTTTCTAAGAAGGCAATTCTTGGAATTTTTAAATTGATCTTGATCAACAATTTTTCAGGCTTTCTGAATGTCTTGGACTTTGACTTTGGCAGCACGTTTCCAATCTCACCATTTACAGAGAAATGCTGGATTGTTCCTTCAACCTCTGAACTCTGGCCAATGAACCATTCAGGCGTAAAAAAAAAAAAGGCTCCACTCAAGTAACCACTGTTGTGCTGACCCAAAGGCTGTAGTAGCCTAGTTCACTGACCAAGTCCCTTCTTGACAGCCTCACCAACGAATCTCTTCAGAAGCAGATGTTCCAGAAGTCAGCTGCCCGTGTCATCACTCAAACCTCCTCCCACATCTTCTGTCCTGCAGCAACTGGCTCCTGGTTAAATCGTGCATCGTCTTCAAAATTAGTCTTCTCACTTTCAAAGCAATCCAGTCCTGCCCCTCCTTATCTATTTGACCTCCTACACATCTCCATCCCCTCTCGCTCTCTCAGATCCTCCTCATCGCTACACCTCAATACCCTCTGCCTGCCTCTCCACCACGGGGAGCAGGGCCTTCACCTGCTCTGCCTCTCACCTCTGGAACTACCTTTACAGACCTACGAAACACCACCTCCCTTTCTCTGTTCAAGACTACTCTGAAAACATATCGCTTATCTTTCTTAACTTTTTTATGTATTTTATATTTCAACTTTTGCCTATTGGTCTTTGCACTGTGTTTGTTTTTACACAATTTTATCTGATATGTTTCTTGCTGTGAAGTGTCCTGAAAGGAGCTTTTCAAATAAAATGTTCATTATTAATATTATTAAGTGTCCCTGCCTTTGTTGGAACGTAAAACCAATAGGAAAGGGAGCTGCCATGTTGTATTTTTGGAACCAGAGTCTGCACACCAGGAGTGTGGGGCTTAAAGCCCCACCCACTCCACCTGCCAACAATCATGGTGTTGCATGACCTTTATTTTAAAAAGTAATTACAACTGAACATCCATCCATTATCTTGACCCGCTTCTTCCTTTTTGGTTCACAGGGCTCACTGGTGCCCATATCCACCACCACCAGTGTGCAAGAGGCAGGGGACACCCTGGACAGGTCTCCAGTCCATCACAGGGACACATAAACAACACAAACAACCATTCACTCTCTCACTCGCACCTAGGGACAATTTAAAGTTACCAATCAGCCTAACATGCATGTTTTTGGCCTGTGGGAGGAAACTGGAGTACACAGAGAAAACCCAAGCACGGAGAGAACATGCAAACTCCACACAGAAAGGCTCCCAGCCAGGAATCGATCCAGTGACCTTCTTGTTGAGAGGCAACATACAGTGCAAAAGTTTTCAACCCCTTGAACTTTTCAACCTTTTGCCACATTTCAGTCTTCAAACATAAAGATATAAAATTTTATTTTTTTGTGAAGAATCAACAACAAGTGGGACACAATCGTGAAGTGGAATAAAATTTATTGGATGTGTCAAACTTTTTTAACAAATAAAAAACTGAAAAGTGGAGCGTGCAATATTATTCGGCCCCCTTGCGTTAATACTTTGTAGCTCTGCCTTTTGCTGCAGTTCCAGCTGCAAGTCTCTTGGGGTTTGTCTCTATCAGTTTTGCCCATTCTTCTTTGCAAAACAGCTCGAGCTCAGTGAGGTTGGATGGAGAGCGTTTGTGAACAGCAGTCTTCAGCTCTTTCCACAGATTCTCGATTGGATTCAGGTCTGGACTTTGACTTGGTCATTCCAACGCCTGGATACGTTTATTTGTGAACCATTCCATTGTAGATTTGATGTTTTGGATCATTGTCTTGTTGGAAGATAAATCTCCGTCCCAGTCTCAGGTCTCTTGCAGACTCAAGCAGGTTTTCTTCCAGAATGGTCCTGTATTTGGCCCGATCCATCTTCCCATTAATTCTGACCATCTTCCCTGTCCCTGCTGACGAAAAGCAGGCCCAAACCATGATGCTGCCACCACCATGTTTGACAGTGGGGATGGTGTGTTCAGGGTGATGAGCTGTGTTGCTTTTACGCCAAACATATCGTTTTGCATTGTGGCCAAACAGTTTGATTTTGGTTTCATGT